GCTTGTTTGGCCTCTGAAAAAAGTATTTTTTTGTAAGAAATCTTTGCAAGCTTCTCTCCTTGTTGAATTTTAGCGCACAGTAAAAAAAAAAAAAAACTTCTCAAAGATCATTGGACAATGTTTTACAAGAAAATGCCATGACAGGCTTCTATTTCAAAATATCATGTTTAATTTGCATTTGCATTCGCTTTTATTTTTATATTTAAAATTTTCACACAGTTTTAGTAAGTGTGTTATGTGCTTTCACCATTTTTCTTAGTCCTTTGATATTTCTATTAAGCCTTACATTTTTCCAGATTTAGTTACTTTAATACTTCAACCTAAACCAAGGCAGCATTTCTATTTTTTCATATAATATGCATAGCCTATATGTATTTACAATTTTAGCTTTATTTTAGTTAACGAACAGTATTTCTAATAGTTTTTAACGGTAACACTTTATTTTACAGTGTCATTGTTACATATGTAACAGTTAATCTAGTTACTATAACTATAAATTATGCATAATTACATGCAACTAACCCTAAACCAAACCCTAACCCTATAGTATAGTAAGCTGAGTAATTACTTAATATTACTCAGCACTTAAATGTATAATTATTAGACACCTTTAAATAAAGTGTAACCTACTGTAGTAAGCCATAACACCACTGTGGTCCACAAGTTCTGCCAAAGCTCCTGTTTTCACCGTGCGTTTCTCTTCAGGTGGGTGGGCTACGAGCACGGCTCTTACCAGGGTCAGCAGTTTGTGCTGGAGCGTGGAGAGTACCCTCAGTGCGATGCCTTCGGGGGAAGCAATGCTTACCACATCGAGAGAATGACCTCCTTTAGACCCATTTCCTGTGCTGTAAGTTCACTTAAACCATGACCCAACCCGCCATTTTGCATGGGTTTTCTATAACAATAATATCTACAATGATTGGAATTACTTCATATTGCAACCATCGTTTTGAGTATTGCATTAAGAAGAAAAAGAATGCTCCATGTCATTATGTTTGATATGATTGTACCCAGAACCACAGGGAGTGCAGAATGACTATCTACGAGATGGAGAACTTCCTGGGCCGCAAGGGAGAACTCAGTGACGATTACCCTTCTCTTCAGGCTATGGGATGGTGCAACAACGAAGTGGGTTCTCTGCGTGTTCAGTCCGGAGCGTGAGTATCTGCATGGCTTCTTCTATTTTTCCCCCTCAATGCTTCCATTTCATGCTTTGTTTGTTCACCGCTATCTATTCTTCGCTCTTCATGCGACAGGTTTGTGTGCTACCAGTTCCCTGGTTATCGTGGATACCAGTATATCATGGAGTGCGACCGCCACTGTGGGGAGTACAAACAGTTCAAGGAGTTCGGCTCCCATTCCCAGACCCCTCAGATCCAGTCCATCCGCCGTATCCAGCAGTAACGGATTTCTCCTTGACCCTCTCCTTGCAAAAACTCTCATGCCCCTTTCTGCCCGATGCTAAATAAACTGTCTTTCTTAAACCTCACTGACCTCCTGTTATAGATCTGTGTAAAAAAAAAAAACAAAAAAAAAAAAAACAGTAGAGTGCATTTACTGAAACCTCAAAGCAACAGTGAGGCTTTTTGGACACTTAAAAATAATAATACATGGTGTGCCTTTTATTACAAATTGTTTGAAACTGGTTTTGTGAAGAATGAAGAATGCATTTAGTCTCTGTGCCTTTAATCATGGAGGGAAATAAAATGCACTTTAACCCTTTTCCCGCCAGATGGAGCAATAAACCTACAAGCCAAATGATTACAAATATGGGAGGCATGCAATAAAAAATAATCAGGTTTAATGAGAAACCAAATATATTTAGCACGAAAACAGTCCATTACATGGCTTAACTTACCTTAAAATTACTTTTGTTGAAATGCCATTGTTTGTCAGATTAAATCATATGACCAGGAATTGAAATAAGAAACCCAAACAAAAAAACAAAACAGTTTTTTGTGTTGATAAAAGAGGTGGGATGCGCTTACACAACGATTTTATTTAGATAACATGGCGGAGCCAGCGAAGACACCAGACTTTCCTACTATGATGTAGCCATGGGTTATGAATATTAATTACGTAATGTGACGTGCGTCTAGTAGGCCCATCTGATTTGCTGAAAGTTGCGTGGGCGCTATTCAGACAGCGAATTAAAAAGTCCTTTTATGGAGAAGGCTTGACTTATGAATATTAATGAAATACCGTGAATGGGCGCTTCAGGAAGGTTACTAAGCAACGTCAGCAGAATCTATTTAATATGCATAACTCAAGCCTTCGCCGTAGTAGGCTTTGAAGTTTTGCTTGCTTCGTTTTTTTATTAAATTTTTTGCGTGCTTTCGCTTTTATTTAAAGAGAGAGTAGCTAGGCTATACATTGCGTAAATTAAGAGTCGAGAGAAATGTGAAAAAAGAGAAACAAAACAAAATGTATTGAAACAACAATTCTGACAGCCTATATTTCAGTTAAAAGCCATGATAAAATGTAAATAAAATCAAACTGAATAGCCCACAGTCTACTATTGACCCTTTTGCGTTTTAACGGTCATCAACATCGTAAATCCTGCAAAGTTTTTATTTTATTTTAAGTTTAAGTTTAAAAAACATATGTAAAATGTATGTAGGTTTATAATACTATACTTTGTATTTTATTAAATTTGCATCAAATTACAAGAAACTAGCTATTGACCCTTTTCACATTTACGGGTTTCTCAGAAGCGGAAGTCATCATAGTTTGGTAAACTTCCATAGCGGTTAATGAGAAAGTACATTAAATATATATATTTTTTGTTGTGTTCCTTTTGTCATTTGCTTAAATACCAAAAGAAAAACTCCACAATAGTATTTTCACAACTTACAAAAGAGCAAAAATTAGAGAGAGATTGATAACGGCAGTCAGAAGAGAGAAAGATGTCCACTTTTTGCTGTCCATCACACCCATAGCCGCTGTGTTAGAAACACCCTCACAGCAGCTTTAACACGTTTTTGGTAATTTGGTACAAAGTATAGTGATATAAATGTACATACATTTTTAAAAAATAAAAATGAAAAAATATATTTTTTGAAACAACTTGCTGATTTACGGTGCTCATGACCGTTAAAACGCGTCATCACAGTCTGTGAAAAAGGGTCAGTTGGGCAATTTCGCATCCTTCTTCACTGGTATTCAGCTACGCCTCGTTCCAGTTCCAGTTCCGTGTTTTGCAACACCAGCGCCGGGTTTTGCGTCGAACCGGCCGCTGGGAGGAAGTGCAGCTCTCAGAAGAGCCTGAATTTCAGTTCACGACGCGCCGTGGGGCTCAGCTCACACACAAGCACTAAAACTAGAAAATAGTCGTATATTCCCATCTGGATTAACCTCAAGAGGAACTCTTTCCCGGAGGGTCTGAGTGGAATCGGACTGGAGTGTTTTATGTGGACGAATATTGTGGTTTTGTTGAGCGATGTCGGAAGAGATGAAGACTTGGATCTGCGACCCAAACACGGATGGAAAAGAAAAGAGTGGTTTCTTTCGGCAGTAACATCGAAAATTCAAAATCAGATCTCGTTTGGAGGAAAGTACATTTAAAACCCCAGAACGAAGCGTATTGGGGTTCAAAGTCACGTCGTGTTGTTGTTGTTGTTCTTTGGCGAAACTAGTAGTTTCGTCCATATAAGCTTGAGTTTGAGACGCACAAGATCTCGCGCAGAGATTTCAGGGTGAGCTCTTTATTTTTGTGTTTTTATTTACAAGAAACGAAAAAAGCACAGTAGCTGTGTTTTCTATATATATCCCTGCCTTGCTGTTTCATCGGACCACGTTTTGTGACACCATCGCGACTTTTTTTTTTTTTTTTTTTTTAGAAAAAGGAAACTCGGATTGGTTTCGTTCACATTTGCTTATTTCCTTTTCTAGCGCCCCCCTCTCATCTGTAGGTTACAGAGTAGAGCAACATCTCAGCCGTTCTTGCTCTCATTATATAAATAAATTGACGAGCAAGCAAATCCAGTTAAGGAGGAAAAACTGTCTGCATTGAACCGCACAAGGCAATGGACTTGCCACATCAAAACACAACTAGTTTAATTTTGTCTCTTTAATTGGCTTGTGAGATCAAGACAACCAGCTTGGATCAGCCAGAGGAGTGACAGGCAGATCTCAACCATCGTACTACAAAAATGGGGATTTGTATGTGATATTACCAGGATATTTACATGCATATGCTGTTTAGATCTTGAATGTTTTTAGTCTCGCATTTGTGGATATTCAGGAAACAATCCAGCCCGTGTCGCACCGATAGCCATTATTTATGTTTCTCTAACCATTGGGCTTCAGCTTTCCACCATCTTTACGCCTTTTAAGAAGAGGAGGATACATATTACCCTTATTATATGCGATCCGTTTGTTTGCTGTCAGCTGGTAAATGTGATCAAACAGGGAAATATTGGCGTCCATTTTCATTCCTTATTGTGTTTTTGGAGCGCGCTGGCTTGCTCATTTTAACACCCTAATGATATCGTCTAGTCCGCTCGTTTACGACTTATTTTCTATATCTTGTTGGTTTTAACCGGATTGCATGGTCGTTTTGATTAGATGATCATCTTGGGGATTGATTTCATATGACACTGACGGGCCAGCTTGTATGTATTTGTAGTTAACCCGCTACCGCCGTTATTTCCATCCATCTGAATGGACGGTTGCTCAAATTAACTTGCATGTCATTTTTTTAACGTCGTTATACCGGCAGGTGGGTTGTTCGCGTTAAACTCCCCCAAAGGATGAGTGCTGGATGGGGGCATCTGCAGGCTAGAATCGCTTAATCGATATTATCGTTATCACCATCTAGAATTATTACTGGAGATGATGCCATACACATATTTTCTTCATCTTTGAAACAAGAAGCCATTTCTGCAATTCCAGTGGACCTGAGGGTGACGTTGCTTCATAGATAAGCACCCTATAGATTTTCCACTCAGAGAGTGTTTTTTTCTTTTCTTCTGGTTTTTTGTGTGTGTGTGTGTGTGTATTTTCAGCCACGATGGTTTATTTCTGAGAGCATTTTTGTGGTTTGGAAACACGATAATTAAACAACTGGGGCTGGAATAGATGTTCGCGCCTCTCTCGCGCATCATCATCCTCATCATCACCACCACAGCTCCCGCGCTCGTCTCGTGCTGTTGATTCCGCCCGCGCGCGAGCGCGCAACATCGTTCCCTCACGTTCTCCCTCACTGCTGGTTCTGGTACCGTTAGCGAGTCGGTTCGACCCAGAGGGCTCGAAGATGGCGGACCTCGAAGCGGTTCTCGCCGATGTCAGTTACCTGATGGCGATGGAGAAGAGCAAATCTACTCCAGCGGCCCGGGCGAGCAAGAAAATCATCCTTCCCGAACCCAGGTAAGCGCAACGAGTCTGTCTGACAGTTAATTCATGCATAAGATATTATAATATTTTATCGTGAAGAGGTGGGTTGACGTGTCAACATATTGGGTTATTAATTTCCCCTGTATTTTGACTGAATATTCGTGTAGTTTGACGTTAAATAAGCGTTAGAAATTTTCTGTCACCATTTAGTAATGGCCTCTCTTGTACACATAGGGTTTGGTGTTTACTTATTGCTTTCGCTTACAAAAAAGTACCATGGTATTGTCGGACAAGCTACTCGTTTATTTGTAGATATACTTTATTAATACCATATTATTTAATTACTTTAGAATGCCAAGTAAAAACGATGGTATGAATAGTATAATTAGGCCTGTTCTGAGACCAGCACTTTACCATGGTAACACCACAGTAAGCGTTTTTCTAAGCGTTGGCAGGTAACGCTGGCTCAATCCTAATTATTGGGGTTTTCTTGTGTTAAAAAGCCTGTCACACATTTTGTGCTGTGTTTAGTGTTTTTGAGGTTGTTCAGCAGTTACTGAGGCCTGTTGTGAAAATTCCCCCGTGTGAATCAATGGTTCTTATCACCTGTAGATTTGCACCAGGTTGAGGGTGATATTCACTGTAAACAGGTCGAAATTCTGACATTGGCTTCACATTTGGACTTGCATACTCAAGGCAAACTCATGTTTTTTTGTGTGACTGTTTTAAATTGTTATACCTTGGAAACGTAAAAGATTACATTATCTATCTATTGTAAGGGAGTTAAATGTTCAGATGATGAATGTTTCTCATATCTCGTACCAGTTAACATTCAGTCTGCTAATATTTTCCATTTGATTAATCTAACAAATAACCCACAGATTATTGAATTATTTGATGTACATAAACCACTAGGCTAGGCATTCAACAACACTTGCCCCACAGGCCCTGTTTACAGCTGGTATTAAGATGCATATTGGTCAATCGTATCACAAGCAGACGTCACTAAATACAGGTGTAAACGGGGTGTAGAACGTTTTGAGCTTGTCCACTTTCGACCACTTCCAGAGGTAGTCGAAAACGCATTAGACTGGATTGCTTTCGTATTGTAAACGCTCACGTGGTCGAATGTGTTCAAACAGCCTCAAAAGACCACCATATCTCGGCCTACTGACCTAAAGCATAAACATTATGTGAAGCGCCGAGTTTGGTTCGAAGATGAAAAATGTACAGGGCTCCAAGCTGTGACCCTTTTTCCTTCTGGTGCGACTACATTTTGTTAGAGGTCGCACTGGTGCCACCACCATGTTGCCCAAATGGTAAGAGCTGCCATTTTTGTTATAATGAACATAAAATGGCGAAACGAAACCGCGCTACTAGGTTGAGCTGCGCTACATGGACCGTTTATCAGCTCAGAGAAGTAATAGACAGCGCAGCGTGAGCTCAAACAGGTTTACCCGCGCAGACCAATCTTTGATCACACGACAGCGCTTGGAGATCCAGTGAGAAAGTGCTGTTTTTCCAGCACTTCAAAGCTCTAAATATCATCCAATTTTAATGTTACTCCTAATGTGATGATTTGTAAAACTTAACATTATAAAAAAAACGAACACTTCGTGGCAAACAAACACTTTTTACAATCAAAAAACATGAAATTACAACTATAAACAGTAGATGGCGGCAGAGGAGCAATTTTTGACTGAGCCATTTCCACTCCCTAATATACACTCACCGGCCACTTTATTAGGTACACCTGTCCAACTGCTCGTTAACACTTAATTTCTAAGCAGCCAATCACATGGCGGCAACTCAGTGCATTTAGGCATGTAGACATGGTCAAGACAATCTCCTGCAGTTCAAACCGAGCATCAGTATGGGGAAGAAAGTTGATTTGAGTGACTTTGAACGTGGCATGATTGTTGGTGCCAGAAGGGCTGGTCTGAGTATTTCAGAAACTGCTAATCTACTGGGATTTTCACGCACAACCATCTCTAGGGTTTACAGAGAATGGTCCGAAAAAGAAAAAACATCCAGTGAGCGGCAGTTCTGTGGGCGGAAATGCCTTGTTGATGCCAGAGGTCAGAGGAGAATGGCCAGACTGGTTCGAGCTGATAGAAGGGCAACAGTGACTGAAATAACCACTCGTTACAACCGAGGTATGCAGCAAAGCATTTGTGAAGCCACAACACGCACAACCTTGAGGCGGATGGGCTACAACAGCAGAAGACTCCACCGGGTACCACTCATCTCCACTACAAATAGGAAAAAGAGGCTACAATTTGCAAGAGCTCACCAAAATTGAACAGTTGAAGACTGGAAAAATGTTGCCTGGTCTGATGAGTCTCGATTTCTGTTGAGACATTCAGATGTTAGAGTCAGAATTTGGCGTAAACAGAATGAGAACATGGAACCATCATGCCTTGTGACCACTGTGCAGGCTGGTGGTGGTGGTGTAATGGTGTGGGGGATGTTTTCCTGGCACACTTTAGGCCCCTTAGTGCCAATTGGGCATCGTTTAAATGCCACGGCCTACCTGAGCATTGTTTCTGACCATGTCCATCCCTTTATGGCCACCATGTACCCATCCTCTGATGGCTACTTCCACCATGTCACAAAGCTCTAATCATTTCAAATTGGTTTCTTGAACATGACAATGAGTTCACTGTACTAAAATGGCCTCCACAGTCACCAGATCTCAACCCAATAGAGCATCTTTGGGATGTGGTGGAACGGGAGATTCGCATCATGGATGTGCAGCCGACAAATCTGCGGCAACTGTGTGATGCCATCATGTCAATATGGACCAAACTCCCTGAGGAATGCTTCCAGCACCTTGTTGAATCTATGCCACGAAGAATTGAGGCAGTTCTGAAGGCAAAAGGGGGTCCAACCCGTTACTAGCATGGGGTACCTAATAAAGTGGCCGGTGAGTGTATGTAAAAAGTAGGAAATCACAAAAGTCTCATTAAAGCAATTAAAGAGCGCTCCTTTTATAATCACTGAAGCTGACAGTCAGTTCAGTATGATACTCTAAAAGAAAATTGTCTCATCTATAAATTGTAAAATAAACCCTGCCCTCGAAGAATTCAGGACAGAAGTGGTTGAAAATGGACAAAACAGACGGATTAAAATACCATGTGTTCACTTGCGATCCCATCGACCAAAACGCATCTTAATACCAGGTGTAAACAGGGCCTTAGAAAGCGAATACATTAATCATATGGTTACTTTGGCGTCTTTTTAGAAATACTAAAATAGACTAGATAGACCTAGTATATTTTTAGTTACGGCCTTTGTTGGAGTTGATTGTACCTGTTCCAGGGCTCCAGACTAACTTTTACACTGGTTGCACTGGTGCTACCAACTTTCTCAGTTGGTCGCACCAGCATATGATTTGGTCGCACCTTTTTTTTCTTTTTTTTTTTGCTAGATGCCATGGGATTAATCAAGCATGCTGATGAATAGTGGTTTTAATGGACCAAGGCTAGCAAAGGCTTTCTGGGTTGCTGCAGAAATACCTGTAATATATTATATAAAAAAACATGTAATATATGGTAATTATCATTGCCAAATTTCAGGATTTTCATGGATTTTGGACAGTAATTTTAATCTGTAATTTTAAGCATTTTACATTTGAATTCTATACAATCTATCTATTTACATTTAAATCATATTCTATCTGTCTATCTATAATCATCTTTCTATCTTTTAAAAATCATTAAACATACATTTTAAAAGATTAGAGTATTATAATAAACTGATACAGATTTTTCGTTATCAAAGTTTATAGTTGTAACAAAAAGCAGAAATCTCACACTCCAGTTACCTTCTGCATTTTATAATAATTTCCTTTTCCTCTGTCGAGCGATCATGAGAGTAATCGCTCGACAGAGGAAAATATAACCGCTGAAAAGACGTTGGAGGAAGGGGCTCTGTGTTTCGTGAGACCATTTTTATCATTTTTATATGCCTTAATTCGTGAATTCGTAATTGGCGCGTTTCACCATCAGTGTGCAATGCGCGTGACGTCTACGTTCGTCAATAAATAAACTGCACGTGTCTTGCGGAAGAAGATTGTAGACGGAACTTCTCTCCGTTAATGTCTATGGCGAGTCACGCAGGCACTGGGCTACTCCGCAGCCGAGACGACCCCGGGATAAAATAGTGCGAATATAAACACTTATTATAAGCGTACCATAGTGATTCAGAATAAGTCAAAAACACGGTTTGGAAAATGGATTCATGATGTAGCCTACTCGTTCATTTTGAACATAAGTTACGGACTGCAGCTGCTGATACAACGGCGTTCTGTTGCTCAAGCGTCCACTCGCACAAATGCGACCACATAACATTTTAACTCTCACATTCTCAAAAAATGGTCGCAATATGCGACCAATTTGGTCGCAGTCTGGAACCCTGTGTTCTCTCGGATATCATGCGAGAAGTCCATTGTATATATTGGATTTTTTTTATTGCCACTGTCCGAAAACCGTAAAAGTGATAAATTGGTTATGCCGTCACTTTTTATGTAGTTATTTGGCCGTTTACAACTCTGTCGGGAGACTGAACAGTGAACACTGTAAATATTGTTTAAACCTGCTTTTGGTAACAAACCGAGACCAAATCAAAAGGAAATGGTATTTCAGATTTCATAGTTTGCTCATCTCATGGGATCACTATGGTGATATAACTGTCAGTTTACAATGTAAAGCCTGTAGTTCAACACAAAGGTTTTATTGTACAGTTTACATGAACGTGTCTCAATATAGACTCTGCATCCGTGGAATTGCAGTAGTTGGAATTTCTTTAAAAGTTTATATAACTCTTAAAAGTGATTACATTAGTGATCTCTCAGTGTAGCTCAGGGCTCAACACTAAGGATTTTTTCAGCTGGGTTCAAATTTGTGGCCCCACCCCAAAAGTCAGCATATGGTTATCATGTTGATATTGTTTCACCTGTTAAAAATAACAACAATATCCAAAGAAATATCCAGAGAAAGTTTCTTACCGTGCTATGTGTTTTCTGTTCTTAAACCCATCTCCTTCAACGGAAATTAAAGAAAGCATATCTCTAATTTTGCTGTTAGATAAGTTATCTTCTCGGCTCACTTGAAGAGCAGGAGAACTGAATGGTTTGAAATCGCTTGAATGTTTAAATTGGCAAGACTTAAAAATACGTGCAAATGATAAACTTAAGTTAAAGTCTTGTATCGCTACAGTTTGTGTAGCTCGCTACAATTTGATCTGATGATCTGTGTGGTTTAAATGACACATTTAACCAACGTGTTATAGGGCATAAATGTTTCTGGAAATTTCCTGAATTATGAGCGCTAAACCTGCAGGAATTAGTCAAATTATGCACAATACCTGACCCGCAATCCCCTGCCGAAATTCAGGCCCTGATGGTTATGATAATAATTATGTATTATTATTGGTATTATATTCAAGTTGTTTGGCTTCCTAAAAAACACCAGTGTGAAATGTGAGTGTGATGTTGACTGATACACTATCACAGCAAGGTTTGAGTTTACTTTAAAGTCCAGGCACAAGTCAACGCAAAGACTTTTTACTCTGTTTAATTTGGTTCACTTAACTTTAAAATGTACCAGACTCCAAACACTGGTAAAGATATAAACATTTTGTTTAATTTGTTGCTTTAACTGTTAGTTAAATGTAAAGTTGCATGCATTAACCTCCATGTTCCAGACTTTTGTTTTGTAGCATGCAGTTTAATTTTTGTTTATGTGATGAGTCTAAAATCTTGATCCAAAAATATCTTTAGTGCATTTTAAGTGCTTAATTTTGTTACGAAATCTTCCGGATTACCCCCCACTTATTTATAGAGCTGATCCTTAGTGATTGTCACCCATGTAAACATAACATATAGCCCTTCAAAAGCATTCAACTTCTGTGAGTAGGCCAGCATCCGAACAGAGCCACGGTAAACTCGCAGCGAGATTCATTTATGGTTAATCATCTTCCTTCCTCCGCCAAGGCTAATATAAAGTCTCTCCATGGGCCGAGATGATGCTTGTGCTGGTGGGCTATTTAGCATCCCGGATGAAGTGGTAATGCACGGTACGAATCTGAAACGATAACGGTTGGCTTTTCCGTTCAACAAATGGTAAGCCATACATCCGCTCCTCATTGTAATTAGTCTGCTTTAGTGGCTCTGTTTGCTCTGAGGGATTACAATAGTCCGCGGCAGGGCGGTATTACCACAGATCGAGTGAAAGCATTAGCTGTTGACATCAGTGTCCCCATCATTAGCATTATTACGGGCTCCATAAGCTTTGTGCCACTCCCAGCTGCACCTTCTGACTAACACAAGCCGTTTAACATCAAAATCGTGTGACATTCGAGTGCTTGTTTGTTGTTATTCAGTAAGCATCTGTTTTAAACAACTGTGGTGTAAGAGAACCATATCAATATCCCATATTGGCAGTGGGTAAGGATCCAGTGTGCATAAAAACATAAGCTGATGGTACAATAAAGGCGTTTGTTAATAAATAGAAGGTACTTTGTCCTTTGCCAGCAGTGAAAGTAGCGGCGGAGAGAGATAACGCGGCTCTGCTACATTCTCCTCGGGCCAGTCGCGAGCCCGCTGGCAGAGAGGTGAGATTTTGACAGCATGACTGGAAGTGTTTGAGGAGCTGGCGGGATTGTTTGACAGCGAGACGAGTGGAAGAGACTGGAGATTGTTTCAGTCACGTAGACGTTGGACTGTGGGACGGAACTGATGCGATTGCAGACAGACAGAGAAAGAGATGAATGTGTCTGAATCCAGTGTGAGACAGATATCAAGGGGTCGAGGATGTTGTGGTTGAACACACAGGTGCAATCCTGCGTTTTAAATCGCATCCATTAGTCGGTGGTTTTGAACTAGTTACCACTTTTGCGATGCTAAAGGCCAGTTAATGTGTCATAATAATGTAGGCCAGGTGATAAAATATGAATGCGCTGCGCGAGTAAAACATGTAGTCATTAATAAATGAGAAGTTTGTTTATGTCTTAAAAGGGCTCATGGCAGGCTTGAGGTTTCAGACACTCAAGTGTATGGTTTATAAGCTCTCCAGATATCAGCTTTTGGTTTTTACGGTAATGTGTCAGGTCATTTACTAGGGCAGGGCGCTAAAATGTTGCTTCTAAGGCCTATATTGAGCCGATAAAGCTCTTTTTATGGATCTGCTTAGAAATTACTTGAAGGGTGAGTTTTCAGCATGTTAAATGGAAGAAATAGAATTATTTTATGTTAAATGCACCAATATAACAAAAGCATGCAAGGTTTGTGGTTGATAAGATTTTTAATGTTTTTTAAAGAAGCCTCTTATGCTCACCGAGGCTACATTTATTTGATCACAAATAAAAGAAAAACTATAATTTTGTGAAATATTATTACAATGTAAAAGATTTTCAGTGTTGAAAACTGTGCTGCTTTATATTTGAAGAAACCGTAATCATTTTTTCTTTTAGGATTGATGAATAGGAAGCACAAAAGAACAGCATTTATTTGAAGTGGAAATCTTTTGTAATATTATGAATGTATTTGTCACTTTTGATCAATTTAATGTGTTATTGCTGAATAAAAGTATATTTCTTTGAAATGGTAAGATATTTTTTTAATGAACATTTTTGAATGATGATACAAACAAATTGTTGAATTAGAGTCATGAATTGATTCAGTGAAAAGGATCAAACTTTCCAATGCCATTTTTTGCAGTGCACGCTGTCTTTAGGAAACTTAACGGCCAAATATAAATTGCATTGTTTCTTTATGATATTCACAATATTGCCAACTAAATTACTACACGATTATAATGAATATTAATATATCATTGCACAGCCCTATTTATAATAGCAATCCTGATATCAGCCATGTCCATTTGCTGTAATGTGTGAGGTCACTACAGGGGTGTCTGTTTCTGGTCCAGGACTGCAGGAGCATGTTTGGGGACACCTCTATCTCTCCTGACCTGCACTCTGACTCTGTGGGGCTGTGGTTGGGTGATAATGAGCCCTTGGAGGGGGTGCTGATTGATTCAGTCTCCCAAACTTGCTGCTCATTAACACCCTTTCCCAGGGCAGCGCGGCAGTGCCCTCCTTTGGGAAGCGACGGGTAGAGAATTGAGCGGGTGGTTGTGGAGAAATCTAAACTAAGGCCAGGATCGAGGTGGAAGGACACTGTGGGAGGCTGACTTCAGGAAAATATTCCTGTCAGTGTCTCGAATCCAGTTGCCTCTCTCTCAGGGCGAGATGGGTTTTAGCTGGTGTGGGGTTTGGATGATGTTTGTTTTGCATATGAAGTTTTGAACTAAAGTCATCTCTTTATTTTTACCCATTCTCTCGCAGTATTCGGAGTGTCATGCAGAAGTACCTGGAGGAAAGGGATGAACTGACTTTTGACAAAATCTTCAACCAGAAGATTGGTGAGTTTTCTCAATGCTTCTTGTTGCTTTGACCCAGTTTTGCATTGCCAAAAGGTCATTTCAGCTTTGAATAAGGGACATTTTTAGGGCCAAAACAGAGTAGTTCTTTGAATAAGCATCTAGAATACACCACATACCCTCGAGGAGAACATTTTAATCATCATGAAGTTAAATAAGGATCTTGTAATTCCTTTTTTCTTATCTGAGTCAAAGAAGGCTCTTTGTTCTTTATCACTGGCCATTATGTCTGCTATTCTCTGAACAGTCACCTGAACAGTTAAACTCTTTGTCAGACAGCGTGTCGTACAAATGCGCTTTTGTTGTAGTTTGATGAATGAATATGCCCAAATAACCTCAGGTATACCCTAGTGAAAGCATGCTTTTTTCCACTTGGCGCTTTTGGAGAAAAGGCGTTTGCTCTAATGTGTGAAGTGTGAGCTGTGAAGGCATCATGGGAACACGACAGCCAGCCCCAGATTTTGATTAACTTTAATTTTTACTTACTTTTGTGTCTGAAGTCCCAAGTGAGGATCTGCTTCAGTGGTTGGTTTCTCTTTTTCTCTCCCTCTCCTGACTTCCTTCGCTCACATTGCCTCCATGGATTATGCTATAACATGCTGATAGTGTTAAATGTTATGTTAGTTGAGATTCTTATCACCTACTGTTTCAACTATCGAAAATATAAATTAAATATTTTATTTGTATAACTGCATGTCACGTTACCGACATCAGAGATCCGTGAATATGTTAATTATTAAATGTAACCTTAAAATCTCAGGGAGTACTTAAAGTAAAATTAGGGCTGCATGATATTGAAGAAAAAAAATGCGAAAACTTCTTAAATAAGCTTATTCTGCTTAATAACTTTTTATCATCACTCAAGCCACACGTAAGTAACAGTTGCATTCCCAGCCTATTCTATGCTTTGTATGTTGACCTAAAACTTTGAACTTTTTGAAGTAGCCCATTAAAATCATACATCTCCTTCAGTACTGTTTGAAAAGCATTCCATGATACACCTCTTGTAGTTAAGAAGCTATTGTAATATGTTGAAAACTAATAATAAATAATGCGTAGGTGTCTCCAGACATTTGACTGGTAGTGTTTATGTTTTCTTATTAATATTTTCATAGGCTATATGTTTGTGTGACTGTCAGTGTTGTTACAAAAGTGCATAGTGTATGATGAGTCACTCTTTATGTATACAAACAAGTGCCCTTCCTGATTGGGAAACCTGTTTGTGGTCTTAACAGGGAAATCAAACCGCTATGTGAATGCGAGTGACATGTCTATAAGGCTATGTAAAAACAACGAAAAAGCATTAATTAAATGAAAGAAGTATTTTCACTAATGCAAATATCTGACGCTTGCAAATATTCCAGGTCCTTTCTGAAGAGAGACGTGAATCAGGAAACCAAAGTCCGCTGCGATGCCGCTAGTTCACCATACTGAATTTGAATGACAAATGTCTCGGTTTTGCATCTGACCAGTGGAAGGAGATAATGACTCAGCCACTGGTTGCATAATCAGATGCTTCCCTTCTGTCTTTGTCTTTTAACCCTCGTTGCTGTGGCATTTTGTGTTTATTTGATGAACCGAATAATGTTGCATGATGGCTTCTCTGAGTTAATTCTTTCAGGTCGCATTCAGTTGTCATAGCTGTGGCAGATTGGTTTGTTTTTGTTCTTGTGCATAACGTTAACATTCAGAAAACGTTAATATTGCATTGTTTCTCATATGATTAGTCTGTTTTTAGTAGGCTGTCTTGATTTACTGCAAAAACATCCTACTGTGAAGACCCTACACTCGCTGTGATCCACCTAGTCATATGAGACCTAATAGGGAGCAACAAGTAGCTTTTACCATTAAAATTTCATGAGAAATGAATAGAAATGATTCTTGCATTGCAGGAGGAGATGTAGAGAAAAACACGAGGATGAAAAGCTCAGGCTCAGGGGTGTCTGTCGGCCGAGAATGACAGGGGAAAATGCCATCCTCCTTCATTGATTTAATTTGGTTTGACAGTCACAGCCATGAAGACGTTCGTGTGGAAAAACTAAGCGTTTGATGTTTGACTTTATTTGCAGCAGAACTCGATTTACTGGCACATCTGGAATGGTCTAGATAATATCGTCTATACATGTTGTAATATGAAACGCATTAATAAACATTGAAAGATGGAGCAAAGGGGTTGTTTATCCAAGTCTGGGATGTTTTTTATTTTTCTTCAGCAAGATTTGAGATGTCGTGCTGAAGTTTAATACTTATGTTAAGATCATCAACGTTGTTCTGAATGTTTTGATTGATTTTAATGGGGTTTTTTCTCTGCATTAAAGGATTAGTTCACCTCAAAATGTAAATTTCCTTAAATAAGGGCTCTGCACGATCCCAGCTGAGGAATAGGGTCTTATCTAGCGAAACAATCTATCATTTTCCACAAAAAAATACAAACGTATATACTTTTTAACCACAATTGTTTGTCTTGTGCTGGTCTGCGACACGCCAGGCATTACGTAATCACGTTGGAAAGGTCACACTGAACGTAGGCGGAAGTACCGCCCCATTGTTTACAAGCGTGGAGGAGGATCGTTCAAATTTTATTGTATGTTGAATGACATATTTATGTCTTTGTGTCAGTTTATTGTTTAAAATGGTTCTTTCGTGTGCTTAATCCTGGATGTTTAAAACAATGGGGCGGTACTTCCACCTACGTCCAGCGTGACCTTTCCAACGTGATTATGTAATACCTGGCGTGTCGCAGACCAGCACAAGACGAACAATTGTGGTTAAAAAGTATATACGTTTTTTTTTTTTTTTTTTTTAGAAAATGACAGATCGTTTAGCTAGATGAGACCCTATTCCTCAGCTGGGATCGTGCAGAGCCCTTTGAAGCACTTCAAAGCCCTTTGAAACTGCATTGATTTGGACTTCAACAATTTGGTTACCGTTGAAGTCCATTCATCGGAGAAAAATCCTGAAATGTTTTCCGCAAAAAACTTAATTTCTTTTCCACTGAAGAAAGACATGAACATATTGGATGGCATAAGGAAATTTTCATTTTGAGGTGAACTAATCCTTTAAAAGCTTTGAAGTGATTAACAGTCCTTTTGAGCAGTATCTGTCTGCCGTAATGTGAGAAAAAACATAATTTTCCTCCTTTGTGCCCGACAAGTGTAGCATTTCACAGCTATTACTGTTCTCTTTCTATGCTCACAGGTTGATAAATAATTTTGCCCACATTCTTAAACACTTCCATGACCTACATGCACCAAAGATCTTGCTTGCTCTGCAGATTAATAAGCTTGTTGCGTTGATGCTCTTTGTCTGGGAAGTCACGACTGGCTGTAATAAATGATGTGGGGCAGCTCAGGTTGAAGATGAATAGCCCTCTTAGCAGAACGACGTTGGTGTATCGGTGCACGGACACTTGTATGCATGGATCTGTGCAGAAACGTGACAGTTTGACAGCAATTTTTGGCCTGATGATGTCTCTCCATCCCCCTCTTCATGACACATGATTTATTGAACGGCGATGTTGGTACTGTGAAACACAGATGCTGCACTGCAGTGCGATTCTCTCTTGAACTCATGACTTTGGCATTGACATGCTCTGCTGCTTGAGCTACAGGAATGATGATGATAATTAGGGATGCACGATATATCAACCACATATCGATATCGGCCGATAAATGGTCTTTTTTGATGTTATCGTTATCGGTCCGATAAGAAAATTGGGCCGATATGTCAATGCCGATAGATAGATTATTTACTTCAGTTGAGAGATGCCGCTGTTCGCCATGATGGTTCTGAATGATTGGATTCACTTCGAAAAGGAAGATAGAGTTCAGTGCAACATGTGCAGCACAAATCTGTCACATAGCTCATAACATTATAATAAAAACGCGCAAAAGAATGTTGTGAATTGTTGTTCGCCAGTGTTTCAGCGCGACGAGCGCGTTGTGGCGGAAAGAGCGTGTCTATGGAGTTTAGCCTTCATGACAAGCACAGTCAAGTTCTCTTGAGCATTCGCAGCATTCTGCGCCATTGTAAGTTGTAATATGTTTATTTTGTGTATATATGCGTTTGGTTGAGTTAATGAACGATGCAGTAGCGCTTTATTGTACCGGTGATCATCTTTGCTGTGATCATCTTTGATCATTTTAGCGTTGCGCAGCTCAAACAGCAATGCACATTTATAACTATAATTGGGACTGTCATATACATGCCATTATAATGAGAACACTATTGTAATAAAACGTTGTGAATTCTCTGTTTAGTTGCCGTTTCAGCGCGTTGTTGTGAGAATAGCGCGTCTAGAACGGGGATTAGCCTACACATTATGACCAGCACAAGTTCGATTATGCATTCACGTCATTTTGCGCAGATAAGTCGTAATCAGACCTGCAAACTTGTCGCTTTTCGGCGATAATCGCAGTTTTCTTGGTCAATTGGGTCATTCACGTGAATCGCGTAGAACCGGAGAGTTTTTTTTGGGGGGGGGACGGGTTGTGTAGGCTGCCCTTAATCTGCACGCAGGCTAGAATTGCGAAACATTATTGGATAATTCTTATAATTGACATTTCTCTGGGCCAATCGGAATCTTAGTACTTTTTCTCTTGGCCAATCGGAATCTTAGCACTTGCGTCAGAATCGCCATTGGATGAGACACCTGGCTTCCACGCGAGTCTGGTGGAAACTAATAACGTGAAGGAATCTTATGTGAAATTGCCCGTTCGCAAAAGCCACGCCCCCTAGTTATTGTTACTTCGCCCGTCAAACAAATGGTCAAACACGACCAGCGCCACAGATAAAGAGGTATACCCGTGCGTGTCAGTGACCTTTTTTGGAGCAATACCTCTGCGATATCCTCCAGATCGAGGCACAAGGGGTTACAGTATGCAGTGGAGGGATATATTCAAAACATAAAAATACGCAATAAAGGAGAAACGACTACTATCGAGGCTAATGCTTATATCGGTCTCAAGCGAAATCTGAGAAAC